TACCGCCCCGGAGGGTATGGTTTCCCCTAAGGGTGCGGCTTTGGACAAACATATCATTGAATTGAGATCCAACATCAGTTTACACACTTTTGCATATAAAAAACTAAGATGACATTGTTGGGTTCTTTTCAATTGTTATCAATATTGTGTGTCCGGCAGGAAACCGTGGCTGCCTTCCAAAATGAAAGCGAGCAGACAGAAAGCTCCCGCCTTCTGCTGTCTGCCGCGGTGGCTGCTGGGAAGGAAAACATCGACAACGCTTACGAAGTGGACAAGATCTCCGCGTAAGAAACCGAGCTATGATTTTCATTCTTTTATACAAGAGAAGTAGTGAGGCGCGGTGTCGGTTAGCTCAGTAGGCTCTATGCTAGACTGCTGAGCTAATAGCACTGATTTTAATCCCAAACGGGGGGTTAGGAACTTGGATTGTTTTGGGGATTTGTAAAGACAGTCCACCCTGGCTTGGTCGTGTCGGAGTTGGACGTTGAATTCGGAGGAGCTGCCCCTTACATAACATTGAAGTGTTTAATGGGCGTTAAACCTATACAATTTTGCATTTTCGAGGATTTGTGCTTTTCTAAGGCGCGATTTGACTGTGATTGACAAAGCCTGCGATTTGAAAGGCTCAGATCAGAAACATAAAAAACGGTTACAGAGATGGAAAAGGGTCTTCCTAGAATTGAATCTTCTAAATAAACCATTGGTTTGAGTACCGTTGTATGCAAATTCAAATTTTGCATTTAATTTTCATGCCATGGGTGTAGAACTATATAAATGTCCATGAAATAATTCTAGTATAATTAATCTTATGTTGTTGAAAGAGGCATCAAATCCTAACCATACCATACCATTTCATCCACAATTTCACAAAGTGGTTTAAGAAAACTATAATTGTCGATATGATCTCACTCTTCCTCAGAGCACTTGACTACCTTGTACTTATGAGCTATGACTTCCACGGCTCATGGGAGCGGTTCACTGGCCATGTTAGTCCTCTCTATCCCCCGAAGAATGCGACTGGTTTGGACGCACAGTTAAATGTGGTATGTGTCTGAAACGTTACGTTTTGTGTTTCTTTTTTTAAAGATTTTCTTTCTATCCCACAACGACC